AAGTCGATGTCACACCCGAGCATTAACACGATAAAAAGCCGAGTTACCCACTTACGAGATAATTATCTCGGCAAAATTATCTCGGCAAATGTGATAATATGTCGACATAATTTAACAGTTATGTCGACATCTTCTCAGATTATGTCGACATATTCTCAGATTATGTCGACATCTTTCAATAATTATGTCGACATACGTAACTCGTAAGTCGCAAGTGGATGGCAGAAATATGCCACCATAGATTTCAGATGAACATGCACTTTAGTTAGTTCACGCATTCGTTGTTCAAATGAAATGATTGAATGTAGTATATAGAAATATATTGTATTTGCTATAATACTGTATATAATACAAAACAACACATATGCTATTAGTGTATGCCGTGTCATTTCAGTTTTACACAAGCGGTGATTACCTCTGATTCCGCATGGATTCCCGATGATAGCGGTGATCCGAGTCCGTGGTTACAGCTGGACCTACCGTACGACTACCTCGTGACAGGGATGCTCACTCTAGGTTCGATATACCATACTATTAATTCTTAATCTGAAGTGCTATAAAATACGATAATTACTAGTGACAGTTTTGGTGACAGAAACCATGGGTAATCTATTTATATATGTTTATATTTTTGTCGGATGACAGAGCCCCTCTTTTACCTCTTAAAGTGTTAACCTGGTAAGGCATAATTGCATAATCCTATAGCTTGGAAAGTTTTGCATGACAAATATTCTGCATGATTGTTTATTATATGTTTTATAGCAAGTTTCCCACTTATAAAAGTATAGGATTTCGACCACGTCCTTTCCTGTCATATAAACTACGACCGTTATGATAACTAATAAGCATTCCAAAGTTAACATTTATCACAAATACAAAAAGACTCTGAATTAATCAATAAAAACATTATTTATACAGTTGTGTGACTGCACAACGCACCAGAAATAGCGTGCGCACATCGTTCACACACCGTCCGCACATCGTCCACACATGGTGCGCACAACTGTGCGATTGAACAATCGTTCGCCCCGTTGTGCGCTTCTCTCCGCACAACTGTGCGATTGGGAACAATTTGTAGATCAATATTACGGAATGAAAAAAATACGGAAAGCTCGTATGCAATAATGAAAACTGTATACATTACTGTAATTTCCCAGCACAGTCATGAAGATTATGTACAGTTTTACAATGCGTGTAACACAGCATTACAGTGACCATTGAATGGGTTTGGCTCCAGGGTAACAGAACAGGTAAATAACAATTTGATGAGTGATCGGAGTTTTACCTAGCCTGTACCTGACTCAAAGAGCTGATATGCGATACCATACGTGTAGTATTTGTTATTTGCATTCGGTTTGCCTATAGCTCGCCTTCACCTGGGTTGTCACACCTTTGGCCCTACCCGACGTAATAAGTAAGCGCCCCGGGCGGGGAAAACTACGGTTCAGGCACGTATACAAAGTGGCTATGTTTACCTGTATACTGGACTGTGTTGTAATTTCATGTGTCGATTAAGGTCGTTAAAAAAATACCGAAAACACAATTTCTAATTTTAAGAAAATATAGACATAAATAAAAGCTTATAGATGTAGGTAGAATATAAAAACTTACATAAAAATCAATTTTATTTGTTTACACACGAAACCGTATATATTCTTAAGGCATTCCTCAATTTACACCAACCACGATTGTTATCGCACTTCGTTCGTCCATCGTGCACACAAATGTGCGCAAGCAATGATCGTCCAACTTTTTATCGTTCGCACATCGTGCACATATCGTTCACACACCGCACATCTTGTAACGTTGTGCGACCCACAACTGTACTTATATTGTATAAATTGTTCATTTGACGATAACTGCTTCTAGAAACTTTGTTGTACAAGTTTTTGGGTAGCACCCTATCAATCACAACAACAAGTTTCTGGTAAGCACCCTATCAATCAACACAAGTTTTTGGGTCGCACCCTATCAATCACAACAACAAGTTTCTGGTAAGCACCCTATCAATCAACACAACAAGTTTTTGGGTAGCACCCTATCAATCAACACAACAAGTTTCTGGGTAGCACCCTATTAATCAACACAACAAGTGTCTGGGTAGCACCCTATCAATCACCACAAGTTTTTGGGTAGCACCCTATCGATCAACACACCAAGTTTTTGGGTAGCACCCTATCAATCAACGCACCAAGTTTATTGGGTAGCACCCTATCAATCACAACAACAAGTTTCTGGTAAGCACCCTAACAATCAACACAACAAGTTTTTGGGTAGCACCCTATCAATCAACGCACCAAGTTTTTGGGTAGCATCCTATCAATCACCACACCAAGTTTTTGGGTAGCACCCTACCAATTACCACAACAACTTTTTGGGTAGCATTCTATCAATCACCACAACAAGATTTTGGGTAGCACCCTATCAATCAACACAACAAGTTTCTGGATCGCGGCCTATCAATCAACATAACAGATTTCTGGGTAGCACCCTATCAATCAACACAACAGGTTTTTGGGTAGCACCCTACCAATCACCACAACAAGTTTAATGTCACTTTGTATTGGAGCACAATGACTATACATAATGGGCCATATATTAACCCAAAAGTATCCTACTACATTTTCCCATGCATATTATCCCTTGAATGTGAGTGAGGATGTCACGGAATAAATATTGTTACATTTATATTTTTTCAAGTGATGCTTTGCATCCATGGCTGTTATAATTTCAATTTCGTCAGTATCTATCGATGCGATAAGAATTGTTTTGAACAAATTTGATTTCTTGATATCACACGCCTGCTAAATCTGCTAAATATATTTTGAAACTTATTATCCAACCGGTGTGGAGTCATCCCACAGTTGTACTATTTTCTTTCTAACAGTTGCGATTACTATAATGTAATAATAATTTTATATACAAAACTTTGAAAAATACCAAGCATGTGTTATCCATTTGATTTAAATCCGTTGATTGTTTGTCTGCGACGAAATTTCAAATATATTTATAAAGTATGATATTCATTTGAGGAACTCAAATCATATTCTCCCCAGGACGTCCTGATGCTGCGAACGAGCAATGGTCGAAGACACTAGAGGTCAGATACAAAAGTACGGTCGACTCGTCCTGGAAATCCATTGGTTCGGTAAGGTAGTACATGTATATTAATTATTATAAAATTACTGCAAGGATGAAAACAATACACGTCAGTCAAATGCCAACACGGGAATACTTATAACCACTCTGATACTTTGTTTTATCACATAATGTACTGTGTTATCCAGTGAATAAACCCGTGTCATATTTTTTTGGCGTATGAACCCATGTAATATGACCTGTCAGCCCTGTGACTGGTTATAAGTTTCAATTGTGACGTCACGCCTAGGACAAGTACATGACGAAACAGACTTACGCACTTGCGTCAAAATGGCGGCCTTTTACATTTCAAAATTGCATGAAAATTGTCGTTTTACACGAATAAATGCCATAAATCTTGATTATGTGATAAAAATTATCTTATACTCGTTTTATTTCATATGAAATTTATGAAATTCGTCACGAATTTTTCATTTTCGCTCGCAAGAGGCTCGCTAAATTGAAAAATTCTTAGACTCGTCTCTAAAATCTCATAAGGAAATGGAAACTCATGTAAGGTCCTATATGTTTTAAAATGTATGAAATATGGAAATGTAACAAGAAGGAACTACATTTGTACATGTTAGCTCAGTAGCGTTCAGTTACATTCGGGATGTGGTAAAAATAAAAGGAATCAATATACGTCATGTATCGTTTAAAACATTTGAAAATATACTTTTTGACCATATTAAAAACAATACAAAAAATAAATGGCGTTCCCACTCCCTTCAAAACCCAAAGTTGATTCATCTTGAGTGATTAAAACCAAAAGTGATAACTTTATTATTTACTGGCAGATTTCGTTATAAGTGTATACACATGTAGTACTATTTATTTTATCAAAATCCAGTCATATTTCATTATGATATTGTGCGGATATTGCTTTACTTCAAATTTAGCCTTGGTATCTCTATATCGTTAATGCTTTTATGGTTTAATCAAAACTAAACGATAATTAAGCAAGTGATGTTACGGAATGAAGAGTGTAAATGGACACTCCAAATACCATAAAACGTCCCGTTAAAGATTTTTAAAAATCAAAATTAAACTAAATTTATTTTACAACATTTGTCAAACATGTTCTATCAAGTAATAAATCAGTCATGTTGGCCCGGACGTTGGTGCGCATAGGGTCTAAATATAGGAGTACCCGGAAAACACACATGGTCGGGAAGGTGACCATTTTCACGTCCAATCTGGGAATCGAACCTCGGGATCTTGATGGACGACGAGTGCTTTATCCATTGCGCCAACCGAATACCCAATGAAGTTTTTAACGGGCGAATTAAAACGATTCATCCTTTCATTAGTCATTCGTTATAAGCCGTTAGGTTAATTTGTACATCGGCAATCCCCTAATGAATTGATTAGGAGATATGCAACAAGATTCGTTAGACAAAACAGAGAAACACGGGAGATAACTATCATTTGCGCATTTACGACAGACAAATGCGTTTTAGGGGACAGATTGGAGAAATTGACACTATTGTCCCATTATTCCACCTTTACTAATGAAGTGTCGAAGGCCAATTACAAATCAATAAAACCATATTACGTCAATCATTAAGGACCCTCTTTCACTTTATTACGGGTATTTAGGATGTGGTAGGTTGTATGCTAGTTCAAACATTAAGGTCAATTTGCTAAAATTACAAACAAACAAACCAAGGCAAGATATATGTAAAGGACGAAACATTAAAACACTCAAACATCTTCTATATTGTCAATTATTTTGAAGCAGATAGCATTTATTCCCGTTGCACATTTTATAGCTGTATAGTTTGCAATACATTGGCAATTATTAATCATTCTAATTGTACCTGTATTCCTTGCAGTTTCCAGGAAATACGGACAGATCAAGTCTCCTCATCACACTGTTTCCTAGTCCGTTTGTCTCCAAATCCGTCCGCCTCTATCCAGATGGTGCAAAAATCGCTCTCAGGGTGGCACTGTTGGGATCGCTGATGGCTCATGTTGATTGTATGTGTTACACCGGTCATTGGTCTTTACAAAAAAAAAGAGTCAATGACTTACCAAGATTATATACACTATTCAGTATAAAAGTTTAGGGGCCAGACCACCAAAAAAATCTCAAATGTAATTCTTTGCTTATTAGGTATGCCCAATTAGATACTGAGCTAACCAGCTAACGTTATGAAAATATTAGGCTATACAGAGATTTCTAGATAGCAAATTACATGATTAGTGGTACCGTAGGATGCACCGGACTAGCCAGAGGTGCCTAGTATTTTATTTCTGTGTGGTCCTCGAAACAGTTTAGATCTTATCATTTATGAAGACAGGGAGTTTGAGAGACAAAGCCTCAAAAGAGTAAGGGATTGAAAAAAGGCGCAGACACAAATGATAGCAATAGGAGTAGCTTATCTTTATATTCAGAAGACACGGAAGCCCCCGATCCACTATTTTGCAGGGTCCTCATAAGTTTTCTCTTGTGATGATAGTACTGAGAAGCAGGGTATGATGCCCAAGGAGACATCGACGGGCTAGTTAGAGGTTCAATGATAAGCAATCGATAAACCAGTGGTTACTAGAAACACCGACAATATAAAGTATACAAGAAATCCCGAGTCATGCAATGAGAGGCAACATAGATTTGTTAATCTTCAGCAGAAAGAAGTACGGACCACGTCAGGTTGTATACAATAAAACTTCGATATGTTGTAAAATTATATCCAATAGCAACTCATTATGTTGTCAAGATTATAATTATGCAGTTATTATATCAGATTTAACCCTGACATCACCTGTTCCTTAGTATAACTATTTTCTTGGAATTCTGAATTCAATATCATTTGCTCCACTTTACTATATCGATACATATGTATTTTATTCTACATTTCATTTCATGAGAAGACAGTAGTATGTATATGGGATGTTACCCCGTCTTCAACACAACCAGTTCAGCGTACGTCCAGCATCACACCCCTATAATGTCTGAAGCGGATTGTAGAACAACATGTAGTAATACGGTTCCTTTGTTTAGTTACAGTAAGTACTGCTTGTTTCAAAACGCTTCATAAGGTGGATGTTATTCTCAGTAGCGACTTAACAGATAAGGGATTGTCAAATATACACAGAAAAAATACCTACAGATACCTAACTATATAGCTAAGAAAATAATACGCTAGTAATGCAAAGAATACCAATGTTACAACGATTCTTGTATACATGTAGTACATTTTGGCACATGCTAATGCTTATTTATAATTATTTACAATTCATCATTGTCTTGTTTTTTGTCTAGATGCTATAACGTTTAGATGCAGTTGTCATGCAAAGTTAGGTGGCAGACTGGCCCAAGAAGACTGCGATAACTCAACGAAAGTCTACAGACTCTATGGTAAATGAATATTCTGAGCTAAGTGCAACAACGAATCACATTTCAATACTATCGATAATTGAGCTGAATTGGTACATTTACTTTACCTGTAACTTAACTTTATTTATTTAGTTGAATTATTTCATCAGCCTATAACAAATAGGTTCGCGAGATATCTGTTAGTGTATGAAACATGAAAAAACTTTGCGATGAGTTTTTTCCGTGATTACTATTTCTATAACATAGTACAGCGTGTATACTACCTGCGCATATAAACCTTTGAAACTTACTCAACTTTATCCATTTCGAAATTTATTAAGAAATACTGGATATTCCTTGAACACAGATAGAAGATAATTTCAGCAAAGAAGATAATATATCGTTAACACATAGACATTCTGTGCAGAGGTAAAATGTCAGCCACCAGACGCCGTAGAAGGAAGCGTCAACGAGACGACGTTTGTGCATGTGTCGGGCCTGTTCACTGTGTCGTCCACGGTACAGTACACCTGTGACACTGGTCACGAGTTCTACATGGATAACACCAACAACAGGACCATTACCTGTGGGGACGACTACCTATGGCAAGGCGTGTTAGGCGACTACTGCAGGAGTGAGTGCATTTTATCAAATACATGTTATATGCAACTTAAATTAGTCCGATAACTTTACTCTCTGAAACACTTCACCGCAACACATTCACTTTTTTCCAGTGCTTTTTCGCGGTCAACTATGAATTAATTTATCAAACACCGCAGACAAAAAAGGTTATGTATTTATCAGTTAGTTACTCCCTTCTTTAACCGATATGTTTGCTTTACTCGGATCAAGCTAAAGTTGTGTGTTCTTCTGAAAAACAGATATCAAGACTCAGAAAACTATTTTTGCAATTTCAATGCGTGTATTACACGAGTGAGTTTGACAAATAGGCATCCAATTATCAATGTTATTCACCAAGAAACCGGAAATATTCTGTTTACTAAGTCCGGTTGTCCGTTAACATATAGTGTGTCTACCACCAACACATGTTGCTACAAGCAATGCTATTTATATAAGTGAGCAAGGTCAAAGTAATAAAAAAATAATATACAACATTTGATAAAGCGCCATATCTAGCTAACATAAGCCACTCTAAAGCGCTTTACAGTACAGATATATACAATAAATATAATGAGCATATGCATTAATCAATACAGTTTTTGAGGAATTCGCAGGAGCTGCCTTATCATGCGCTAACTACTAGTCCTATGCCACCTGGCTAATATTTCCCTATGTGTGTTTGCCTGTGTGGCAAGAGAAAAACACTTTCTCTTAATATCCATACGTATGAAGACTTCGGGGATCGAACACCAGCCGCCTACGTGAAAGGCTGCAGTGTTAACCACTCGACCGATCCGCCCAAAACGCCAGCGCTATACTGGCGTCACACGAAGCCCTAAACCCGACTTCCCGAGTAGTAGTCGGTTTCGCGTGAAAACATTGTCTTTTTCCACCCGTGGAAAACATTTACTTTATAGTCAATGTAAATATATACTTCACAGGTGAAAAGTGTATAAAAGCAAAATATAAAATATATTGAGGCGTATTTAACCGAACTAAAATGTCCCAAGGCTAATTCTCCGAGATTTACCCCTTTTTTGTGGTCACAACTACCGTTTTTGAGTAATGTCATGGTTCATCAATTGGATACTTAAGTTGTGCTGCTCTATCTTTTGAAATTATAAGAAATAGGGATTTTGTTCACCTTCCTTTCCGTTTCAACAGTAGTTGCATTGCCACATTTTATGGCCCCTAACATCATCGATGATTTGTAGAAGGGCAAAACTGCTGTATGGTGCAGCACAAGTCATCTGTCAAACTGTTTCTATTACAAATCTTAGAGGTACAACCACATGTTGTTTACGTTCATCTCTCTTAACAAAGAGATAGGTTCAACTTGCTAAAACAGCTATTTATCTCATTCTGTTTTGTCAGAAACAGATAATTAACAGAAGCAAATCAACCAAATCAAGAAATATATAATCATTAGAAACAGTGTTCGCCTACGATTCCAGAATTCTCTCCTTTTTACCTGTTTAAGGTTTTTGTGTCACCATGAAGGGCACGCGTTCTATATCATTCTCTTAGAGTATGATAGATATCCCAAAATCTCATACATGTATTAGGAACAATAAAATATGACGTCATAACAACTTTCCGCGGGAGGTATAGTGCAAAATATGCAAATCAGGAAGGATAGTATGTTCCAAAAGTTGATAAGCACTGTTTTGAAATATTTAATTAAAAACGAGGCAGAACAGAATTTTCCCCTACGGCATCTCAATATTCGGGTTAAATTCTTGAGGCTAGCATCAGGTAAGAAAATGAAGATTATTAACTCTGGAGTCAAGATATCTCTGTCATACCCTTAAGTACCTCCATTAGACAGATAAAACTGCAGTTCTGTTCAGGGAAAGATCAATAGATTCTTCCCCTACCTTGAGGTTGTAATAGAGAAATATCCTATCCGATGGGTGATGTTTTTGTTGTTTTACACGATGCTCTGCCGAAGGTTAGAAAACCAAAACAAATCCCCTCCAGGGTTGGGGATTTCTCTGTTACACCCTCAAGGTAGGGATGATTTTTCTCCCATCCTATTATTTCAATCACAACTCCACCGACAGTAGTCGGTCATATTTGTAAACAAAACACATGTGGGGTATGAATATCGTCATTCTATTTTGATGCTATCACTAGATTTTCAGGAAAATAATGCCTTCAAAGCGTGTTTTAACCACGTTTGTATTCGAGATGTGCGAAAAATAGACTGAAAATATCCACTGCTGTTGGAGATACTCTGCTTAGCCTCCGGCTAGAGATTTAATGATATTAGTAGTCTCATCCCTCGGGTAGCGTAGAGATTATGCTGTCTTACCACAAGGGTATAGAATGATTCTATTAGTCTCAAATGATAATTAAATGTCAAGGTGAAGGCCATATCGGTTTCGCATTATTAATGATGCTGCAATTTATTATTACGTAGTGTGTCAATTGGTTCGCACTTTAAAATGGCAGTGAAACAAATGAGTACCCACAACGAAACATTTTACGTCAAACGACACTATAATGATATAACTTATCTGCATGGTTGTAGTTATCAGTTGTCCGGACTTCCCCCTTTTCAATGGTACGGTCAGCACTTACAATAGTACCTACAATACTGAGGTAGTCTGCACGTGCAACGAGGGATTCAGGATGATGAGCGGTATGACACAAGAAGCAATCAAATGTCAGGCAGATAAAACATGGAATAGTACCATTCCTGTGTGTCAAGGTAAGACGTCGCTGTCTGTCAGATAAATATCGTACGACAGCGCAAAATATACCCGTCTATCAGAATAATATACTCGTTTAAAATAANGAGAAATTACAGATATATACACAGTGTACATTATCGTATATACAAGCTTTCCGTATTTTTGTCATTCCGTAATTTTGATCTTCAAATGATACCAAATCGCACAGTTGTGCGGAGAGAATCGCACAACGGGGCGAACGATTGCTAAATCGCACAGTTGTGCGCACCATGTGTGAACGATGTGCGGACGGTGTGTGAACGATGTATGCACGGTGAGCGCACGCTATTTTTGGTGCGTTGTGCGGTCCCACAACTGTACCAGTTTATCATAATAATATACCCGTCTATCAGAATAATATACCCGTCTATCAGAATAATATACCCGTTTGTCAGAATAATATACCCGTCTGACAGGGTTAAGCAGTCTGTTTGGTTTATATTCTTACAAAAATTATGAAACTATTCTACTTACATTAATCACTCGTGTTGGTCCGAACGTAAGCACGCATGGGTCTTAATGTGGGGGAAACCGGAGTACCCAGGGAAAACACCTATGGTCGGGCAGGTGACACAGTGCTTTTTCATGTCCGATCACAGAATCGAACCCCAGATATTGTAGATAGTCTGGATTATTTAATTGTCTATCTACTTATGGTTTGACAATTGTAATTTCTTGTTTTTAATAAGTTGGTATTGTGAAATTCCTAATGATGATTATGAATTAGTTAATGAACCAATGAACACACTTAATGAGCTAAATCTACACGAAGAGACCATCGTTGAAATAAAATTTTATCTTTAATTATATTCCTAGTGATAGACTGTGGAACGCCTTTAGTTGTTGCTAACACATTGTTGACGGATAACGTGCACACGTATGGGGCCAATGTCACCTACACGTGCGTCAATAGCATGCGCTTTGCCGCAGACACGTACAGCCAGACTTCACAGTGCGGACTTGACGGCGAATGGGAACCCTTCGCACTAGAATGCACAAGTACGTACATGATATCATAAAAACTCAGAAGTTAGCATGTTGGCTTTCTTAAGAGTAAGCAAAGAGTTTTGTAAAGTAATACATGTATAATATATACAAGAAAATAAGTCGTCTTGAGTTTGTGGTAAGACAAAATGTTATTACAAAGTATCCATTATTATTATGAAAGTGTCGCCAAAACGAGTTATGAAGGAATTGAACGACTTTCCTGTGCATGTCTTACACGACACAACATTGAAATTTTATCTTAAATTTTGTGTTAAAAATATTTCGGCCATAAAATATACGACAGTTAGCTGGCTTCAAAAATAAACAATGATTTCTTTTTTAAAATGCAAACGAGCTGTAGGTCCGACCGTTAGCCGGCCTCAGTAATAAATAATGATGTCTTTATTAAAATGCAAACGAGCTGTAAGTAAACTTTTGAGATTACGATTAGATTTGAAATATAGCTATATCATCGAAAACATGTTTGTAGAACCAAGAGACAAGAAGGTTACAATGTGCCTTTTGTAACTTTTAAAAATGAACAACGACAGTGAAATTACTACTTAATAGTAAGTCGAGAAACCAATTTGTCCCATACCACTTTGGTATACAGAGCTTGGTGTTTACGCCGAGGGTAAATTGTAATCGAATTAAATTGTAATATTATTTTTCATGCATCATGTCTCTGTGATACTTTTAATTTATTATTATTTTAAAGAAACGTTTTGAAACAACTATTCGTATTCAAATTGCACCTCAACAACGTCATGTAGGCGATTTGCAAGACATTAAAATATCTACATCACGTTGTTTTTCTTGAATTCTAAAGAGTATGATTTTAAAAGTATTTCCTTCGTTTAAATATCGTATAACTCAATACACACGAGGATTTACATTTTTAGGGCGGTACGTGGCACATTTAGGAATAATGAGTGTTTTTTTCACAGCCTACAAGTGCAGCGATCCCCCAACTATCCAGCAGGCGACAACTGTCCGAATCAACACAACTATTGCCATATACGCTTGTTTTGGACACCATTTCTTCTCCGATGGCAGTGCAGTTAAAAACATCACCTGCAACGACAGCTTTGTCTGGGAAGCCATACCCGAATGCATCTACGATGGTTAGCTATGTCTGTTTTATCATTCTGGTTTCACTGCGTTATGAATTTTTTGACACAAGTCCATTTGGGAAAAATCGACAAAAAATATAAACATAATGTTAATATTCGCATTAACGATACAAATTATATTTACATGTTTCTGGTGTTCAGAAGGGTTCCATACCAAGAAACCGGTATAAACACTATGAACCTGCACATAAGTGTTATGTTTACTTAATTTTAGAACAATGGCTGCCTGGACGTATACATCGTTTTCATATTTACTTCGCGTGCAAACAAGTAACATTCTCAATGACAAAGATATAATTCCAATAAAGATTTATGAGGGATGAACAAGTTAGTATTGAAGTGTAAAACCATTCTTTCGGAATCCATCCCCGACACCAGATGACCATGTCTTCTCTAGACACCAAGACCGACGGACACTGGTCGTACATATTTATTCTATCTACACTATTTAACGTATTACATCTTTTAATTATACTGCCCATATTTTGATAACTGAACATTTGCAGGCATGAACATTTCATCTCATATAATCAGACTAGAGCTGTTTTCATGACCATTACAAATAAAACAATTAAAGGCAATTAACTGCTAATTAACGAGATATTTTACTCTCTATTTGCAGATACTCTTGTCACCCAAAAGGGAGCCTCAATCACTTTCATCGACATGAAACTTCGCCAGACCGCATCGTCTGCCCTTGCGGTAGTACGGAGTGACAGTAACATTGACTGTGGGGACCAGTGTTTGAGAAACAGTCGCTGTAAGGCCTTTAACTACAACAATGCACAGACTGACGCCAACTGTATACTGTTCAGTCAAATGGCGGCAGGTGACGTTTTTGTATCAGCAGTAGATTGGTCCTATTTTGAATTATATGACGTCATGTACCTTCCTTAGAAATACGGTTAAGAAGAGCAAACACTTTCACCAGAACTTACACCTTCAACTGGATCACGATGAATAGAGTACTAGCGAATATGTGCTGTTATTTTTCTCTTTTATAGTTCATAGATGACAAATGACAACATGGAGATATCTGTTTTTGTTATGAGAGCTATAGTTTCTTCATCGTCAGACTAATCAAATGTATAGAACACAACTATAATGATTACAACCCTGAATTGAACCAACATGGTGTATGCACACAAGAATTAAAAAGAAAACTTATAATATTCAGATACTTCCCAAAACATTTTGAATGATTATGAAATCTGGTAATCAGAATTTTATTAACCCCGCCCTGTAGTTCGTATAACATCGAGCATAGGGAAAGTATGAAATTGACAGTAAGAGTGTCAGAAAAAAACAGTACATACCCGTCAGTGATCAACATTTCATTTCCAAAAAAAGGATGGTTGGGTTTATAAGAACAGGAGATGTCCATCGTTAGTAAACCAAAGTATATGTGTGTTTTTAAGACCAAGAGCTGTTCATCGTTTGCAATCTACTAATGTTTGTGCAATAGATGTAGTGTAATCCTATTACTATCAATAATTATGAGTTGGTGGTAAACGTTGATACTAACTTGATCCTACATATTTGATTATTAGAACACGGATCCTGCAAACAGAAGGAAACAATCCATCCAACTGGTAATGATGCTATATAAAATTATATATGTAAGCATATGATTCACCAGGCACCGATTTTCCCTGAACTTCCTTAAGGATTAAATACAGAAGGTTAGTCATGTACACACCATTTTGTACAGAGAACGCTCTTTGCTACACAGCTCAATGAGAGAAAAAAAATGTAAATACCATGTACATTGTAGTATTTATTTATATTGATAGTATCAATGTTTCTATGACAATAAAAGATTGGCCATGTTTCTGCCTTTCAGTTGTGACTGAAGACATTTCATTATGACCGCTCGGAGTTCAAATTGCAGTTGAACCGTGTTTGTCTGGATGCTTTGTTAAACATCAAAACACCAACAGTGTCTGGATCGATGATCTAATAGTTTGTGTAGTTAGAAATAAGAGCGATACTTTCAGAAAGCACATGTTACTGTTAAGGAATCACTACCAATTTATCCGTGGCCTTGACATTGTTTGGATTTCGAGCCAATCATAGAGTGGTAGACATTCATTGAATTATGACATAGTTTCCATAGCAAACCTATACACTACAACTGCAGAAAGTAATCGCGAATTCAACATTATTTTAACAGCAATGTAAAAAAATCTCAGTAGTATTCAGAGAAGAATTCTCTGAGCAACGTAATATGACCAGTGTTCGAACTTTAACGGTAGACCCATAGACAATCACCATGGGAAATAGCGCAGGTCTATGGGAATCATTTACTTCATAGACCAACTTGTTTGTCAAGTCCTCACCTATGCTTTAATATTCAAATAAGGTACTGGGGGGGGGGGGG